TAGTCTCCTCAAATGGTATATCAGTCATGAGCTTCCCAGGTCTTTCCAGAATGACTCCTTGGCCAGTTCTACACATCCCGTCTGAGGTGTATACACGGAGACAGCGTTCATGATAGTCTGGCTTTCCAATGTAAGTTTGACAGTTAAGAAGCGGTTTGTTTTCCGTGTCGATGGTGATGATTCTGTCTCTAAAGTAGCCGTCAAGCATGACTTCAATGTTATTCTGCTTATGCCTGGTCCTAAGTCTCTGGATTTTGCAGCTTTCCATCGCCTCTCCTAAATGTACCGTAAGATGGGGTTACTTGGACACGTTTTTTGCAAATTTTTCAAGATTAAAAGTGAAGAACTAAAGTTAGGGCAACAGAAACTTGTTCATCATACCAACCTAATCTGCAGGAACAACAAAAAATATATAAAAAAGTGATGTCCGAATAGCCCCGTTGTTACTATGCATTTCAGATGGTAACTTGACCAGAAATGTAACTGAAGGATTAAGGAATGTATGTTTATGTAAAAGACATATCTTTTATTGAATTAAACATTAAAAAATATTAAATAAATTTTAACAAAACTGTATTTATTTCTTCCAACAAGTGTTAAATAAGTGTTAATTAAGTGAAATAAAAGAAACAAGAATTAACGTATTTACCAACAATAAACATATTAAAAACCAAAAACCACTGTTCTGTAGCATAATTCAAACTTAAATTAATTAAAATCATTTTTCCTTCATAAAGTTCTTGAATCCTGAACGAAGGAAATCTTTGTCTTGATTGCTATCATCAAAGATTTCTTCGTGTTTCGAGTCTTCGCAGCGAGAGCAGTTGTAAAAAGAATTTGTGCTTCCACGGCTACATGCACCACAAACCCAGTATTTGCATTTCAAGCACTGTATCCAATCCATTTTGTTCCTGTTATCCTCCCACTTTATGCAGCAGATACTGCAAGTAGATGAATCAATCTTTTTTATTGTGCCTGTCTTGCGAACTGGCCGTCCTTGTCGAAGATTTTTTGTTTGGGTGCCTGAGGAAGAAGGTTGATTTTCTTTCTCAGCTTTTGTGGGAATTACAGCAACGGACGTATCTGTACCTGCTGGAATCGTTTTGCCTCGCTTCCTTTTCTGTTTATTGCCACTCCTACAGTGCTCCTGCAACAGTTCTAGAAAACTTGCGTCTAAAACTCTTCCGTGTGTGTCGCTGCTTTCGCTCTCATTTAAACCGTCGGGAATCCTTTTCAAAACCTCATTTGGATTAGGAGGATGCAACTCAGTTGCTCTAAGATCGCTGATTGCTGTCCAGAGTTTATTTAGCAATGCAGGGAACTGCTTTTTTGGAATGCAACCAGGGTATCTGCTTCCTTTTCTCCATTGATCCAGTATTTTTCTCCACTTTTTTTTCATAGGTGCGAATACCGCATCATCTAATGGTTGCATTAGATAGGTGACATTTGTTGGAAATGGCGTCAAATAGATGTTATTCTTCTTGCATGCGTTGATCACTTTTGGAGAGAAGTGGCTTGCCAAATTGTCTCCCACCAATACAACTCTATCTTCTGGGTCGCGAGTGTCTTCAACATGCGGTAACAAGATTTCAAAAAACCATTTTTCGAAAAGGCTTATGTCAAATCATCCACTTGGGCTGCTAGCAGTGCCGGCGCGAGCAAATGAAGCGCCAGCTTGCGGGAACCGGAGTGGCCCCCTCCTCCCCCTCCAATTTTTGGGCAGAATGCCTAATGTGGGGGGGAGCGCCCAAAATGCGGGGGAAAATTAAAAATTCATTTTAATTAAAAAAATATATATAATCAAAGAAATATAAATAAACTTAAAAAAGACTGGAATAATCATAATCCATACTTCAGCAAAAATTTAAGAATTATACTAGTGAAAACCAAACTTAAGGGAATAGTCGGGAATACTCTGGTCAGAAGGTTAATTTGCAAGAAAAAGTCTGAAATTGCAATAGTTATAAACTAGACTTCAGCAAAAAACAGGAATTACATTGTTCAAAGTCCACATGAAGTCTGAAATTACTGTTCAGAGAAAACAAAATTGATTATAAACCAAACATGATTTTTCATGGCAATACTTATGTGTTCAATAAAAGAATGCGAAGAATATGAACAAGAAACCCATGGACTCTCTTGTTATTGCACAGGACAGGAAATCACCAATACAGAAACTTTGCCAATGCAGGATAAGCACAAAAGCAAAGTAACAGTTGCAGAAATGAGGTACCGGGTGGTACAAGATCCGTATAGGTAATAAGAGGCTCCCAAAAAGATGATGATAGACACCCAGAAAGAAGTAGCTGTCAGTATCAAGAACAAAACATAGATAACGTTGGCAGAAGACTAGATACTGCTTTGGAAGATTAAATACTGCTTTCTGAAGACTAGATACTGCCGACAGGTCTAAATACAGCGTCTGGAACACTAAATACTGCTTTCTAAAGACTAAAATTGCTTTGTGGAGACTAAATACTGCTTTCTGAAGACTAGATACTGCTAACAGGTCTAAATACTGCAAAAGAAAGATAAAATATTTTGGAGAAAACATACATAACTTTGGCAGAAGACTAGATACTGCTTCTAGAAGACTAAATACTGCTTTCTGAAGACTAGATACTTCCGACAGGTCTAAATACAGCGTCTGGAACACTAAATACTGCCTTCTAAAGACTAAAATTGCTTTGTGGAGACTAAATACTGCTTTCTGAAGACTAGATACTGCTAACAGGTCTAAATACTGCAAAAGAAAGATAAAATATTTTGGAGAAAACATACATAACTTTGGCCGAAGACTAGATACTGCTTCTAGAAGACTAAATACTGCTTTCCGAAGACTAGATACTGCTCTGAAGATTAAATACTGCTTTCTGAAGACTAGATACTGCCGACAGGTCTAAATACAGCGTCTGGAGCACTAAATACTGCCTTTTAAAGACTAAAATTGCTTTGTGGAGACTAAATACTGCTTTCTGAAGACTAGATACTGCTAACAGGTCTAAATACTGCAAAAGAAAGATAAGATATTGTTGGAGAAAACATTAAAAAGGGCGCCAGCGCCCCCTTTTAGGCGGCGCCCGGGTGCAGTGCACCCCTTGCACCCCCCCGGTAGTGCCGCCTCTTGCTGCTAGCATATTTTGAACCAGCTGGTCCACCTTTAGTCCACTTGTGATATATGTTTTGTGCTTTATACACCACCATAGGAGGAAGTATATCTCCATTTGCTCCATAATGCTGATCGAAGCCCTAGAATGTTCTTGCACTCTTTCCACTCTTTTTGTGTTTCTTTGCAGTATGACTTGTTTAGCACCAGGATCATCAGTCACATTTGTCTCATCATAATTATATAAGTTTACACTTTTCACAGAAGAAACGGCAAGGTTAGCGTTGTTAAAAAATGTTGTCATGTCGTCGCGGTTGACTGACGACCTGGACCGCTGGATATTTGACACTATTCTGATGGAGAGGTTGTTTCTAGCGATAAAATAATCGATGAAATCTAGATCTGGACTGTTGTTCTTCCAAGCATCTTCCGTACTAATGTTGTCCAAGGCACTTTGAACGTTTCTGCGACCTTTTTCCTTGACATCCCCTTCCGAACTGCATCCATAGTCTTTTCCAAGTCTTTCACTTTGTAATTCATGTAGGGCTTTGATCCTGGAATTTTTTGATACGTGCGCACCATTTTTAATCAGTGACTTCCTTTGATAACTAGAACAAAAATCACCACAAACAAAAACATAACCTAACCTCGCTTTCGTGACACAGGACTGAACACGTATACGTTGTGTCCATGTAGCCTCGAGGTGGCCAAGTAGCCCCATTTTACGGTAGTATGTGTTCATGTTTCTTCTTTTTACGTGTCACCATATAAAAATGCAAGAATGGTGACTAAAGGTTTCTTTATTAACATTTATCTAATTTTTGTTTAGGTTTTTTAGTATTTCTTGTAATCAAAAATTATTATCAAATAAGTGACCATAAAGTAGAAAGTTACAGTTTGATTTAACAGCAATTTTTTTTCAAGATTTTTACCTTGCATACTTATCAAATTGAACATTTCTAATGCCGTCATTATATTGCATTGAACATTTTGACTTTAATTTAAGATATTGATCATTGTCTTAGTCTTCAGCAAAAAGTAGTACTTTGTTTCAAGTTTTTAGCTTATATCTTTTTTCTGGTCGTTTTAGTTATCAAAGAACAAAAGATAACATCCAACAAAAAAAGTTTGGAAACAAAAGTATTAAAGATACAAAACCTAATAATCTATCTATCTATGAATCTATCTTTTCATATTCTAATTAAACCTTTTTTACATAGCCAAGACAACATAAACAATTTCTATCCACACATTATGTAAATATAAAATTAGTATGTACGTATCTCGTGTCAATTTGATAATTAAATACCTTAAGACAATATTCACATGAGAGTACACATTGTAACGATGTTCTAATGCCGAGAACAAGCATTTCTGTTTAAATATTTCATTTGCATAAAAAGGAAGTGAATAAATTAACTAGTTTAATTATTTTTTTTGTAGAAAGTCTTTAAAAATACTTACTAGGAATAAAAATAATTTATGTGACGTTCAATCGACCGAAAAACAAATGCGGTTCTACAACTTTCGCTTTATTTTTTGCAACCCAATTACTCCAAGTTACCGATACTACCGGCAGTAAGATTTATCAAGAAAAATGTAAGAATGCATTTCTTAGCCGCTCCTTTCTAACTAGGAAATTTTCACTTTGCATTGTTATCATTTCATCATCTAATAAATGCAATTAAAAAATGTTGTTAAGAAATTAGAAAGAAATTTTCCCATCCAATTTCTTTGTTTATTATATAACATCAGTTACTTTACAGAGCACTTTTCCTTTTCCTACCCTTCCTCTTTAACTTTTTAAATCATTAAAACGAGGATTAAAAAGTGGAAGGGGATGGAAATGGTTAACAGGTGGGAGAGCTTACGCTTTATGCCAATTCAACTGTGTACATTACATTCAAGTACTTTAAATCAAAATAGTTTAAGAAAGGTGTTCTTTTTTTAATTTTTTGATTAACTCATTTTCTTGTAGCAAATTTTTGTTCACTCAAAATGAAATTAATAAATGATTTTTATAAGTTAATTGTTAGAAATAAGTCTTCTACAGTGAGTTTAGATTATATCTTTGGTACTCGTGAAGATTTATGGAAAGGTGTTGGTTCTTTTAAAGATATCCCCGGACCTAAAGGTTTACCGTTTATTGGTAATTCTTGGAGATTTATTCCGTATATTGGTTAGTATTAAATTTTATTTTTTATTAGATGCATTTTTATGTTATTAATGAAAATGATTAAATGTTTAAATTTCATTGCATATAAGTGCGTTTTATATCACTTATCTGTATAAATTCAAAAAGAATATGATATAAACGTGTGTTATGCGAAGGAATATTAAAGATTTTTATCTTTATTGCACGCGAGTCACGATTTTACCTTTAACTTAAGTAGGTTTCTCAAGAATTGTAGAACAAAATGTTTTCAGTTCAAAGAAAAGGTGTTCTCGTAGTTTTAAAATATTTTATTGAATTAACTAATGGGTTAAAAATTACGTAACCATAACAAATACATTTTTTTTGTCCAACAAAATCCAATGATATCTAAGAGAAGCTGTGAAAAATGTATCAAACTCTGATTGAGATTGAGATGAGAAAGGTAATAAAAAGTTAATAAACTAAAAGAAAGATTTCTAACATTTAATTAAAATTTTTAAATTTTAATAAAAACTGAACTAAATTGAACTTTTGAAAAAGTGTTTGACGTTTCGGATGCCATGTTGCAACTTTCTTCAGAAACAAGATCAAATTGACGCAATCGGCAAGAGTTTGACAAAATATACATAAAAAAATAACTCTAATTACTGACTAATTGTCAACTAAGTGTAAACTAAAATTGTTAACTAAACGCGGTGTATAGACCGCGTGCAAATTTGGAGCATTTTTTGACATCTTTTGAAGATGCCTTGTCTATTTTTGTTCCTGATTGCGATAAATTAATTTGTCTTGGCGATTTCAATCTGAATGCTTTAAATATTGATGGTCCTTATTCTCGTCTTTTGTCAGCAATTGAAGCGTTTTCTCTTAAACAAATAATAACTACGCCTACACGTATAACTGGTACATCTTCTAAATTGATTGATTTTATTATCACTTCAGTTAATGATATTACTGACTCTGGTGTTGTTGATATACACAATGTTGCAGATCATCACATGGTATATGTGGTCTTGAATCTCGCTTCTGTGGATGGTGGTGCGCCGCGACTGGTGTCATTCCGTGATTTTCACAGTTTTAATGTTGATGCTTTCTCTTCCGATCTTAGTGCTATTCCCTAGCATCATGTCACTCAATTCAACAGTATTAGTGACAAAGTTGACTTTATAAATTTTCATATTCTTTCGCTGTTTGATATGCATGCCCCGGTGCGTACTGTTATTCTGCGTCGTAAACATAAGCCATGGATAACAGATAATAACAGATAATATTAAGTTGCTGTTTAAATTGAGGAATAAGGCATATTCTCAATATAGATCCCAGCCAAATGAAAGCAATTTTAATTACTATAAACAATTGCGTAATTATGCAAATGGTGCCATTAGGAGGGAGAAAAGGGCATACATTGATCACTTCTTTCAGGGCAGGCGTGCGCGGGAGATGTGGAGTGCTTTTGCATCCATGGGTGCTATCCCTACGAGAAATCGTTCTATTTCCGATCACATCGGTACTGTAGATTTTTTTCTTTCAACCCAAACATGTTATCATGGCGATGCTGATATGATTTCCGGTCTTTACTCTAATGTTATACCACAAGTAAGCGAATGTTTTCAGATTTCTTTCACAGATGAGGAAGAAATATAGAAAACCTTGAACGATATTCAAAGCAATGCTGTTGGTGCCGATGGGATCAGTCTTAGAATGTTACGTTTGTGCTGTCCTGTGATCTTGCCCTTTCTGTGTCATATCATTAATTGGTGTATTGAATTTTCGGTATTTCCTGAGCAGTGGAAGCTTGCTGTGGTCATTTTACCAAATTTATCTAAGATTTTTGAAAAGATTGTTGCTGTTCGCGTGAGGTCAGTTTTACAGTTATTCAATATCTTGCCTCAACGGCAGTCAGGTTTTAGGTCAGGTTTTAGTTGCACTACTGCATTACTGGATGTTGTGGAGGACATCATTCGGGCACGTGATGATAGGTATGCTGCTGCTCTCGTATTGTTGGACTTTTCTAAAGCCTTCGATACATTACACCATGCGACTTTACTTGCTTTGTTACACCATGTTGGCTTCTCCGATGCTGCTGTGGATCTGTTTAGATCTTATCTGCTAGGTCGCGCACAAGTAGTCAGGTTTAACAATTTAGAATCTGAAAAACTTCAAATTATGTCAGGTGTTCCTCAGGGTCCGATTCTGTATTTAATTTACACTTACCGTCTTTGCACAGTTTTGCAACATTGTTCAGTGTATATGTATGCTGATGATACCCAACTATTACATAGTTTTCAGATTAAGTTAGTTAGTTTTCTATTAATTCTGCACAAGAACAGTTTAATTCGGATTTGGCAGCGCTTATCGGAGAAGCTAATAAACTTTGTTTGCAAATAAAAATCAATTGTTCTATTGTTTGGTAATGATAGCATTGAATCAATTGGAGATGATTTTAGTGTCGTCATTGATGGAAATAAGTTTAATGTTGTTAAGGGAGGACGTAACTTGGGCATTATGTTGGATAGCAATTTGAGGTTTAGAAGGCATGTCAGTTTGTTATTGCAACGAGCTTATTCTATTCTTAGATTGTTATATAGTAACAGGCATCTGTTCAGTAGACAGATCAAAACTCATCTTTGTGAGACCCTTGTGTTGCCGCTATTTAATTTCGGTGATGTGCTCTATCATCCTTGTCTGGATAGTGGGGATGTTTCTAGAATTCAAAATGCGTGTCTGCGGTTCATTTATGGTTTGCGTAGGCGAAGTCGAGTATCACACTTTCTGGATAGGGTTGGTTGGCTCAATATGTCGCAGAGGCGTGTACTTCATTCGATATGTTTGTTCCGACGCATTATTCTGTATAAATGTCCACCTTATCTATATGATAAAATTCGATTTCGCACTGATGTGCAGAACATCAGTGTTAGACATACCATGGCATAAATCTCAACTTTTTAAGAGATCATTTTCATATTGTATTGCTAATTTGGTTAATAAATATGTAGACGTGATGACTGATACAGGTGGAATGAGCGCTTTCACTTTTAAGAAGAGTTTAAAACATTTGCTACTTCAACAGCAGTTGAAACCCAATTGAAACTTATATAAATTTAAAATTGTTAGGTGTATAATTTTATTAAAATTAAACTTCGGTTTTTGCACTTTAATGGATTTTTATTTTTAAATTTTCACTCAACCGGTTTCACTGTGTTTATACAGCATCTTCAGGAGTTATCCTACATAAATACAAATTTTCTTAAATAAATCTCGGATTAACGTGCTAAATTAAATTAATTTAAAAATTAATACAATAATAAAACTTACGTCAATTCCCTACAAAATATACATTAGATTCAATCATTTGGTAATTCCTCACTTGTTCCTATCGTTAGATTATGCAAATGATTTCTTTTAAGTTGTGATTATGAAAGATTAAAATATTTTATATAATTGAAGCGTCATGGAGTTGTGAAAGTTAGTTTGAGGTTATGTGTCAATTTGTTTGGGGATATTTTATTTTTCCGTTTGGCAATATATTTGAAATCAAAAATTTTTAATTTGAGGATAGTAACGAATTATTGTAACGTACATAGCAATAATTATTAAAACCACTTTTCATTTTTAAAAAATAGGGAGGAAGAGGGGTTTTTTTTTAAAGGTTATGGGTAGGATAATAAGGGATAGGTATGATGTCCATGGGATCCAGAGTTATTGCAATAACAAAATGACATCTTGTTTTGTTATCCTCGTTTAACCTGGGGGGATATGTTGGGTTGGTTGTAATATAGAGTCTATAAATTGATAGGGATGGGGGTTAAAGGGGTTGATGGGATAACAGGATAGTTTATGGAAGGGGGAGGGGGGGGGGGGGGTTGATGTCCAAGGGACCCAGAGTAGTGCGAATTCAGATCGACATCGTATTCTGAAATCCTCGTCTATCTGGGGGTTTACGGGGTGGGGTGTAGGGTTGTTTTAGGAAAGAATATAGTGGTTTGTATGCAGTTTGGGTTTGGTCGTTGAGACATGTTAGATCAGGGTTATTGTTTATGAATTTGTTAATTTCATATCCTTCGAGGATTTCCATGAGATGACCTTTGTTTATGTGATGTAGTATTTTCGTGTTTTTTTCGTCGTTGAATTCGTGGTTAAGATTAAAGTTTATATGTTTGCCAAAATTGGAATTATGTTTTATTTTGTGTTCTCTGATTCGTAATCTAATGAGTGAAAATTTAAAAATAAAAATCCATTAAAGTGCAAAAACCGAAGTTTAATTTTACACACATAAAATGGAAAGTAAATCACCGAATAATATAATTTTATTGTCTCAAAATGTTATACTATATTTGTTTTTTTTTATATATCATGTTATTACATCAAGTACTTGCGTCCTGTTTTTCTTATGTATTATTATTTTCTTACATTTTTTTTTGTTTATTTTTTCTTGTTTTACAAAATTTTCAAGGGTCGATGAAAAGCAATAGTACCCTACTAGGGTGCATTGACTCGACTCTTTTTGACAACTTTTGAAGTTAGGTTTGTTTTTTTTTATTTCCTTTTATTTTGTGAGTTGTAATCTCTGTATGAGTTGTCAATAAAATATTATTATTATTATAATTAATATTATTATTATTATTGTTAAGTTGTTTTTCTCAAGTCCGAGTGGAGAAGGCTTTATCAAGTTAACTGGCATTTTCCATGTGCGGCTAAGTTACCAACTTCTACTCATATTGTTCTTACGTCGATGAATTTTTATCGCTTCTCTATCTATCGTCTTATTGAAATCGGTGGTGTGTCACTTTTTGTGGCATTGCTCTGCGATTGCCATCTTCTGGATTTTATTAAGTTGGACATCCCTTCTCATGCTCCTTGATGCGGTAGTCGATGTTACGTCCAGTTTAGTGAACGTAATACTTCCTACACACTGAGGTTACTTTGTCTTTAGCTATCAGAAGATCGTACCATTATATCGTGCTTCTTCAGACATGTTTTAATTCGCTCCTTCACACCTGAAACATAAGGGAGGCAGATAAAAC